TGGGGGGAGTATCAGAGAGACGTTAGGGGAGGGAGGAGACACCGACCGACGTTGGGGTCCCATAAAAATTTCCTCGGCCAAAAAGGGGTCACGAGTGGAGAAAGTTTAAGAAGGCCTGATCTAGATCATTTATATATAAAAACGAACTGCGCCGATGCTAACAGTGTCTACAATCGGCTGATCCTCACCTCTTTAGTTACCACCACCTTCTTCTTGCTGGTTCTCAGGCTCTGACTCCTCTGCAATGGTTTTGGAGGCAGAGCGCCCCGTGTTCTTGCTGCAGTTCTGGTTTCGGAATCAGACCACCTCTCATCCATAGAGTCGCTGTCAGCCTGGGACTGAGTGGCATAACCTACGAGGAGAGGTCACATTTTAGTAAATGACAAGCAAACACTTCATCTACATGACACAGCGAGAGATCAGCAGAATAAAGTAAAACAGAAAATACCACAAGGGTCACCCAAGTCATTTTGTTTTCATTTTTACCCCGATATTGGAGTATAGCTAAAATGAATTCTACCCTCCTACTAAATCTTGCCCCTTGTACTGTCCAGCTTCCGCCTTACTGGCCAACAGACAGGTAAACTGTTCAATTACTCATGCTGCCTAGTCTGCTGGCCCCAAGAAATATTTGGGGAAACACAGAGCACTCCCCATCTACCCATAATGCAGCTCTGGATACCGGAATGGCCCTCATTAGGCTTAAACGCTGTTACATGAGGCAGGGGGGAGCTTGCTGAACCCGGTGCAGTTTCCACATGAATTTCAGGGTGCTCAGACAAAGGAGGAGCATGGGGGGAAGTACAGGGACCTTCCCTCCTATAAAGAGCTCCTGCTATGTAGTACGCTAGCACAGGCAAAGCTGATGTTCACTGTTTACTGCAGGGCCAGATTACCCTCAAAGCAACCTAGGAAGCGGCAGAAACTTTATTTGTAACAAATATATTTTGTATCGGCTCAAACGTATCACCTATCTGCTCATAATAAGCGGCAGGGGGAGTTCGAGAGCTGCAGTCCAGCAGATTATAGAGTCTAATTCAGCTTCTCTCAATATTTTTTTACCCCCAAGTGACCCTTGAAATAATTTTCAGGTCTAGGAGAACCCCTTCTATAATGGATTCATCGAAGGTCAGCGGGAAGAATGCAGCCCCACAGTGGTGGTTAGAATGCCACCCTTAGGCGTATTGAATATGCGCGATTCGCGGTAAAAAACACGCGACAATCGCGCGTTTTCCGTGGGCTACTTGGCTGTATCCCAATGGAGACGCGAGACCAAAACGCCCCAAAGAAGTACATGTACTTCTTTGGGCGTAGGCCGTTTTGTATCGCGTTCGGACGGGCGGAAATACGGCAAGGTGTGAACCAGACCCATTGAATACAATGGGATTTAGATGTTTGAGCGTTTTGTAGAGCGTTCGTCGAGCGTTGAACGCGCTACAAAACGTTCAGGTGTGAACCAGGCCTTACGGACAGCTAAAATGATCATTGATGCCATGCAGTTGGCTCTGCCATTGGCCTCTAGATCATGCAGGCACCATGCCAATGGGAGTTTAAATAAGCCGCAGCTCAGGGAATCTCTAGCAAACTTTGGGGGTACACCCGGGGTTCCACAAAAACCTAGTTGAGAATAGCTGGTCTAATGTGTAATGTGAAGCAAGTCAGCCACTCTGGAGTGCAGCCCATTGCAAAGCTCTGACCCCATTACATCCATTCCGACTCCAGAGTAGATAACTGGCTTCCTAAATAAACACAGAAGCTATTATTTTAGATGTGGGGAGCAGATTGGGGAACATTACCTATGGAGCTGAAGATGGGGGTTGGGTGGTATTGTAGTTGCTCACTCTGGGGAACAGGAGAGAGAGCCTGGAGCACAAAAGGGACTAGGGCCAAGGAGAGTAAAGCCCGGTATACATGCTTCGAATTTCGGCTGGTTCTTGACGAACGGGACAAAATTCAATGCGTGGGTGCCGCTGTCAGCACCTTTCCGACCAGCACCCCTTGATCAGCTGATCAAAGAAGCATGTCGGAAACCTGTCAGCCAAACTTAGCTGGCAGCTAATGAGCGGCCAGCTATGTTTGTGTATTCTGACAGCGGCCACTGTCAGAATACAAAGGAAACAGCGGGGGATTCCTCAATCAACGCTCGTAAGCACCGATGGAGGAATCTGTTCTATTTTCTTCATTCAGCCAGCAGGTTGAACAAAGATAGACGCGTGTATACTCAACTTAAAGGAGAACTTTCCTTAACTACAAAGAATGTAACAAAAAATGCAAACTAGAAGTGGAAATCACTTACCTCATAGTTCTCCTTTAAATCTGGTCCCGACACAAATTTAGAAAAAGGATTTGGCATTTTAACCTTCTAGGCGAGAGCTTGTTATTAGTGTCAGCAGGGTGGTGGTGTTGCAGGGTATATTACCCAACACACCCGCCAGGTACTCTCATCACTGCACAGGAATATCTTCACATTGCAGACCAGATCCATATCCTGCCACAAGCCCATTACATAATACAACAGTGTTTCTTCCAGGGATGCAACAATACCGGTTTTTCGCTGTCGAGTACCGATGTTTTTTCTCCGGTGCTCGCCAATACCGATTACCGATACAGGAAGTCCCATTAAGGCTTCCTTATTACCCCGGAAGCCAGACGGCATGTAATGACTCACCACCCGGCTTCCCCATTAGCAGGGTAGCCGTCTCCATGCACTGTCGCCACCGTAGCATGGAGCCGGCTTTCTGGCCAACCAGGAAGCTGGGGAGTGGGTAATGATTCGCTGCCCAGCTTCCTGATTGGTCGGGAAGCTGGCCAATCAGAAAGCCGGGTGGTGAGTAATTACACGGCGCCCGGGTTCCCAATTGGCAGGGAAGCCGGCTCCATACTCCTTTGTCACTAGATGACAAGGGAGCATGGAGCCGGCTTCCCGGCCAATCAGAAAGCCGGGCAGCGTGTAATGACTCGCAACCTGGCTTCCTGATAATGGCCCAGGCATCGGAAGCATTGGGGCGAGTACAAGTACCCGCCCAATTACTCGGTATTGACACAGATACCAATACTAGCATCAGTACATCCCTAGTTTCTTCCAAATTGCTCCATCCAGAACCAAAAGCAGAGACATGTAAACGTTTCACTTTCTATGCGAGTTACTGAAGTATTTGCCTGTAGTTCTGTCTACTTTAAAGTGGAACTCTGGGAAAACAAGAAACCTTCCTTACCTCTGTAGACTGACTGGCTTATGTTCCTTTTTTTCAATTATTTTCTTCCAGCTGGTTACACGGACCTGACTAATGAGCGTCTTTTGGCTGCTGGATTACACCAGCAAAACATGGCAGACAAAGCAACACTTCTGGTCCAACCCGTTCACCATCCTAAATTACATAATGACTATGTACTAGTGTCCTGAAATAACTACAGAGCCGGCCCCAAGATTACATTTAAATGCTTGGTTCTGGACAGACTGCGGTTTTTCCTTGTGCCTGTCTGTGTCATTTAAAAAGAGAACTATGGGGTCAGTGTTTTTCCCCATAGGTCTCCTAAGGGTCACGGGAGGACACATACTAACCTCCTCCCGTGACCCAAAGCTCAGTATATCGCAGGCTATTGCTCACTATATACTGAGATCGCCGCAGCCGGGACGGATTCCGACAATGCTGTTGAGATCCACCCAGCTGCTGAGTGACAGCTGGCTCTGCCTATCAAGAGGCAGAGCCAGCTGTGCCCGCCCCCTCTCCCGTCCGTTCCTCCAGTCAGTGCTAGAGGATCGGAGAGGAGAGGGGAGAATCCCTGCAGGGATCATTGCAGTTTCACTGTCACACGTCGGCTCGAACTATGAGGTTGAGTGAAAATCACTTGCCTCATAATTCTCCTTTAACTACCTTCCGTCCATGGCCGTTCGTGACCGGCCGGATGCAAGTCTGCTAGGAGCGGGAGGGCGTCTTAAGATGTCCTGCCCCTCCCCCTTCGCGTGTGCGGCACTCAGCGCGCACACGAGAGGACATTTTTTTTTTTTCCAAAATTTAGGGTACTTTTTTGTTATATAGTAAAAAATAAAACCTGTAGTGGTGATTAAATACCACTAAAAGAAAGCTCTATCTGTCCCCAAAAATGGTATGAAATTCATTTCAGTGCAGCGTTGCATGACGGAATAAACATCAGTCAAAGTACCGCAGCGCTGAATACTGAAAAATGGCCTGGCCAGAAAGGGGGTGAAACACCATGGCCTTTAAGTGGTTAAGCATATCCCTGTGCTGAGCAGAATACAAACATTACCATAACCTATACCTAGCGAAGCTGACTACATCACAAAGCAATGAAGCAAGCTGACTGCCGGGTCCCCTCCTACGATCCTTTTTCTTTTTTAATGCTGAAAATGTATTTGATCATTTTAATATGTGGATTATTTATTTTCTGTATGCATATTTATGGCAATTACTTTGCAATGTCACAGTGGTAGTAAAACACCAAACTAAAGTTAAGATTTCAGGTCACCAGAATGTGTTTGCCATAGTGTGTTAGCATGCACAGCATACATGTTCCCACCGGCACTGCAATGTCCGCCACCGGCGCTTCCATCTCTACATATTAGCACATCATGTCCGACTTACCTTGGAGGCAATCCCCGCCAGCGCTGCAATGCCAGCACTCTCCTCCGCCACCGGCGCTTCCATCTCTACATATTAGCACATTATATCCGACTTGCCTTGGAGGCAATCCCCGCCGGGGCTGCAATGCCAGCACTCTCCTCCGCCACCGGCGCTTCCATCTCTACATATTAGCACATTATATCCGACTTGCCTTGGAGGCAATCACCGCCAGCGCTGCAATGTCATCACTCTCCTCCGCCACCGGCGCTTCCATCTCTACATAGGAGTTCAGCATCTTTGGCTTCTTGATTGGCTGGCCCGGGATGTTGCAACTGCCACACATTCGCAGTTACTTCACTTTGGCAGAGGACCATGCTCGAGCTGTGCACACAAACACGGACAGGCAGGGAGGCAGCTTTTATGACAGAAAAGACATACAGAATCTCTTCTGTCATAAAAACCTCTACCTGCCTGCAATTGTTTTAAAGTTTTACTTCCCTTTTAACCACAAAAGACAGATTTCCAGTTAGTGATTCTCCCCAATCATAACTCACCAATGGGACGTCGCTGGAGAGTAGCTGCATCGGGATAAAGTGGGTCTCTGTAGTGTAGTGGAGTATCATCGGGGAGCTCCCTTAAATCTTGCATGCTGAAACTGCGCAGACGCCCAACCAGGGCTCCTTGTCCCTAAAACAATATAAATAAATTACAGGAAACTCTGCTATGTATCCTTATATAAAAGTATATTATAGAAACAAACAAACACGCACAGGCCTGCAACTGATAATTATTTTATAATTGATTAGTTAGCCGATAATTTTTTCGATTATTCGGATAAAAAAAAAAAATACATCATCCATAATTTTAAATTAAATACACAGATGCCGTGTTACAAACAAAGTTTACTTCAGAATAAAACTGCATGCACATTTCTTTGTAATCGCACTGCACTGGAACTCTCAGCATTGCGCTACCGTGCGTTCCAGTGCGGGCGGTCACACTGTGGGTGGGAGGCGCATTCGGGATGTCAATGAAATGGATGGCACTGCAACACACCTCCCGCAGCAAATTTTGTCAGGCCAAAACCTAAAATGAATTTTTTCCCACCTTTAACCACTTGCTGACCAGGTGTTAGACCCCCCTTCCTGCCCAGGCCATTTTTCAGCGTTCAGCGCTGCGGTACTTTGACTGACATTTATTCCGTCATGCAACGCTGTACCGAAATTAATTTTATACCATTTTTTTTGGGACAGATAGAGCTTTCTTTTGGTGGTGTTTAATCACCACTGGGGGGGGGGTTATTTTTTACTATATTCAGGAAAAATTACTGAATTTTTTTTTTTTTACATTATGTTATAAAACAATTAATATTACCCACTTTTTTTTTTTAGTAAAATATAAAAGACGGGGTCACGTCGGGTAAATAGACACCAAACATGTCAAGCTTAAAAATTGCGCGCACCCGCAAGATCGCAAAAAAATAGCATACCCAAAATTGACCACAGGCGACGCTTTAAAAGCTTTTACCGCTCATCAGTTTAGTGTTATCAGTGATTGATGACCCCTAAAATTATTGCTCTCACTGCCACGTTTGCGGCGATATGTAACAAGTGCGGCGTAATGGGCGCAATTGTTGTTTTCGCAGGTATGCGCACCTGACGCATGTTTACATGCATGTATGAAGGGGGGGAGGGACTTTAAAAAAAAAAAATTTAAATTATTTTTTATGTGTAACTTAAAAAAGAATTTTTGGGGAAACTTTTATTTTTTTCCCCTCACTTCACTTTATTGCCATCACAGAGGGGGCTAAGAAACCCCCTATATGTGATAGCAAAAGATGTGACAGGTCCTCTTTATGGAGACATCAGGGGTCTCCAAGACCCATAATGTCACCTAGGACCCCCCTGAAGAAGCTGATGAAGCGGAGATCTGCTTTATCAGCTTCTCTCCAGCGTCTGAAGCTGGAGCGTGACACAAGAATGCAGAAGTGATGCAATATACACCACTTCCGCATTATGACACCGGAGGGAGATCGTGAACCGACCTCCCTCTAATCCCGTCAGAGAGGCACTATGCTGGTCCCGGGCTCGCACTGGGCACAGCGTAGCCCGGGATAAGCGTGACAGCGGGAGGGGGGCGCACATACCAGTACCTCATACAAGCGACCTGCCGGCTCTATAGCCGGCGGATCGCTTGTATGTTAACAGGCATCCTGCCTGTTTTAAAATTTTGTGTCTTTCCCGCTCGCGCGCGCCGGCCAGCCGTTGGTGCACAACGGCCGGCCGGGACGTAGTTAATTTTTAAAAATAATTGTATAGTAAGCACATGGTTTTGGAATAGCTTCAGCCCAAACATTGCATTAACTAATGTCAGACACTGTTTCCCCCCAATACACAGCTATAGGGTGCCAACAAGTTCTTCAATATCAGTCAGTTGATGGACGGGTAAACATTAGGGGCCCATATTTACATCTCTGTGGTGTGTTAACGTGCATTGCATTATATTTTTTTTACTTTTATTTTTATGTGACCGGGATGGGAATCCCGGTCATCTGAAGTCACTTCCAATCACAGAGTTCTCTCTGCTGCCTTAAGCAGAGAGAACGCTGTGGGACACCCCAGGCTCCACATTGCGGCCTGCATTTTGTCAGAACTATTGGCTGGCTATGAATGGCTTAGCTTGCAGAACCCCTCTGTGAGAAATCAATCAACATTTCACTAATCCAATTTTGTGTGTATTCATCTTGTAGTTTAAGAAGACAATTCCCCAAATAGAATTCTCAGGAAGTACCTTAGTGGCCGCCTGCACGGCAGCACTTGCTGCAATATTCAGACCCTTTCGCCCGAGGGTGACCACAGACTCGTAGCCGCGTTCCTTTGCTTGTACGATATAAGAATCAATCTCCTAGAAAGAAAAAAACAGATTTAGGTTGGGATTCGCGCTCGGCAGGGAAACGGTTAACACCAAGGTATTTGCAGGTCTCAGACGCTCTTCCCTCTTACCGCAGATGTTCTCAGAGCTAAGAAACAGGTCAGGACAGAAGAAGCTGCTGGAATTTGGGAGTAGCGCGAGGGGAGCGCCGTTACAGAGTTCATATCGCCGTTCATATCGTAGCCCAGCGTGGAGCAGAGACCCATACCGGCACAAGGAAAACTACAAGTGTTTATGATATGTGCCATCTGATCTCATCTAAGGTGGTTTTCTAAATTTGGGTCGGGACCAGATTTAAAGGAGAACTATGAGGTGAGCGATTTCCACTCATCTCATAGTTCTAAGCCGATCTGTGACAATGAGACTGTCACAGGTCGGCTCAGTAGATCGGGAAGTTAGGGAACACATACCGGCGCTCGCTCACCTCTCGATCATGTCACGGCTCTCTGCCGTGACAGGGAAGGGGCTGGATTCCCCGCTCCGATCCGCCAGCGCTGGCGGAACGGACGGGGGAGGAGGCGGGTACAGCTGGCTCTGCCTCTAGATAGGCAGAGCCAGCTGTCAGTCACGCAGCTGGGCGGATCCAGACATAATGGTCGGGATCCGCTTCAGCTGCGGCATCTCAGTATACAGCTCGCGGTATACTGAGCCTAGGGTGACGGGAGGACGCTAGTTTGTGTCCTCCCGTTACCCTAAGGAGAACTATGGGGAAAAGCCTCAACCCCATAGTTCTCCTTTAAAGCACCACACCGTAATATTCAAGTTCAAATACAAATATCTATTTTGTTATCAACTTCAATGATGGATTGTTTGCAAAGCCGGTGCACTTTGGCAGCTGTAGCCCCCCCTTTCATCAGGGTGTAAAAGAATATATAATTTATGTGGACTCAATAATCATTTTATAGTTGGATTTTGTTGGAAGTGTTGGGTATTAGCTCAGCATCCATCAGCAAACTGCTCGGATCACTGCACTAGTGCTGGAACAACCAGCCAAGGTCTAACACTAAGCCCGGGCACTCATTAGCTCCTGGACTTCCGATGCTTCTATGGACGGCTCCACAAGAACGCACTTTACTGCAAATGTAAACATGATTCTTCTGCATAGTGTCTCCCTCAGGAGCATCTCGGCACTTCCTGTCAATATGCAGGCTGGGGCAGAGCTGATGCAGCTCTCTCCAGCCTCTCCCTACAACAGTAGATCACTGCTATAGTAATAAAGATGATGCCACATTCCCGCCACCTCAAATCACAGAATGTCTTGCTTTTTAAATACAAGGCATTTTGTCAATGGGCAAATGGCACTTCGCTGCTCGTGTTGTCCAGGAGTCGGTATGCTGCAAGGTAAGATTCGTATACCCATATAACAGTGTGGTGGGTAAATTATCATTTTCCCCGGAGTTTAACTTTAACCACTTCAGACCCTGCACCTGTACACTGGTCTAGAGACATTTAACTACGGACGATTTGGCGACTCAGCAATAACTTTTTTTTCTTTTCTTTTTACTGTAGGGAAAAAAATTGGGAAGTGTTGACACGTACAGGGGCCGTAACAGTAGTCACCTCTAGCAGCCTTATGTAATGAGTCTCCAGGCTATGACTGTCTCCAGACCCCAACAACGCTAATAGCATGTTTACAGTCTCTAACCATCTCCTGTTACACGTCTTCAGTCTCTGACTGCTTTTGGTAGCATTACATTCACTGAATATTATGTGCGGCCCTTCAGTGATGTCAGGGGCTGCACTTGAGGCCTCCTATGTCGAGTATGTTGATCACCACTGACCTCCTAGTCTATATGGTTTTCTAAAACATAGAAGTGCATTGGTACCTCGGTTCATAAACTCAATTCGTTCCACGATTCTGGTCGGGAACCGAATCAAATTTTCCCATAAGGTTCAATGTAAATAAGGTTAATCCGTTCTGACCCCTACGAACGTGGTCGCGAACCGATTTTGGTCGTGAACAGAATACAATTTTCCCATAGGGTTCAATGTAAATGAGGTTAATCACTTGTTTTGCCTGATGAAGGGGTTCCTGTGTGTCCCCGAAACGTCGCACTAAGTGTGTTATCTTGCTTTTGATGTACGTCAATAAATAGACGTAATCGATTTATTATTGGAGTGCCGGTGTCTATTTCTTTTCTGCATTACTTTGACGGTGGCCATCCGTCGACTACTGAGCACCCAGGATACTTTGTTGGACGTGCGGTCAGGAGTGCAATGGGTACATGGACTGTACTCGGCTAGAGGAAGCCACGACCAGTGTCAGAGCGGGGAAGATGGCTGTGGTTGTGTTCGTCACGTGATTTGGAGTTCACGAACAGAAACAAAATTTTGTTGAACTTCCTGTTCACGAACCCAATTGTTTGCGCACAGAAGTGTTGGTGAACCGAGGTATTACTGAATATGACAATGTAGGCTAGAGACCTAGAAGACCATTATCACATGATAAGCTTCGCAACTGTTGCCAAGCAGTGATCTACTTATCTCTGGCCAGGTGCTCACTATCTACCGCCAGAGATAATCTCTGTGCCCGGATATACTGCGAATGGTAAATTGCCTGATAAAATAATGGAGCAATATACAGTATGAAGCTCTCTAGCAGAATAACGGTGTCTACCTTCAAGTGGAAACTTGCTATTGTTCTTATAATACGAGTCTGGGACATCCAATCTGCTGCGGACAATGTGAAAAGCAGGCAAAGTCTTTACTTCTCCTACAACCTTACAGAAGAATTCCATCCCTTAGGGACAGGGCAGGATGAATACACTTCCTGTACAGCAGGCTGGCCCCTCGTGTGTATGGAGACAGCAGCCAGATTACAAAGGCCATTTTGATCTCGTAGTAGAATGGGAACCTGCAGCACAAAAGATAATAAAAACCGTAAGAAAGCAAAAGCAGAACCAACAGCAAAAAAACAGACAAAAACAGCAAATTAGCCGATGACTTTCTCCTCTCGCTTCCATGTTCTTCAAAACAAAAGAATAAAAAGATGGATGCTGGTGTAGAGATCATCTAGCAACCTGTCCCAGCATGAAAATGTAATTTAAGGGGCACAAGTGTCAGCAGATGTACGAGACCGACCAAAGACAATAGCAAACACCTTGGGGGGAATTTATGAAAACTGGAGCAGACAAAAACTGGAGCAGATTTTCACTGCAACCAATCAGCGTCGCTGTCTTATTATCAAATCCTACCTGAGCAAACTGAAGAGAGATGCCGATTGGTTGCCCTGGGCAACTGCTCCAGGTTTTGTCTGCTCCAGTTGTGATAAATTCCCCCCTCCTGCTGTCCAGAGGGGGCTTCTAAGTGTAAAATAGCTGACAGGTTCACTTTAAGTGGTAGAAGAAAGTAGGTAAATTTACTGTCCACTGATTGCATAGGTTATGGAAGGGAACGGCAGTCGATCCCGCCCAGGGAACGGCAGTCGATCCCGCCCAGGGAACGGCAGTCGATCCCGCCCAGGGAACGGCAGTCGATCCCGCCCAGGGAACGGCAGTCGATCCCGCCGAAGGAACGGCAGTCGATCCCGCCGAAGGAACGGCAGTCGATCCCGCCGAAGGAACGGCAGTCGATCTCGCCGAAGGAACGGCAGTCGATCTCGCCGAAGGAATGACAGTTGATACCGCCAGGTTGTTTAGGTAATACAGATGGGACAGGTTTATATGTCCATGTAGTAGGGGCTGTTCTCTTACCATGATACAAAAATATCCGTAAACGTTTCTACCGTCATAAAGAGTGCAAACACGATCCAGTACATCATCCAGCGCACCTGGAATAAAATGTAAGACGCTTAGAAGTACACCACCAGAGATAGTTACAATA